GTATTGCTGATTATTGTTAAAAGTATCACTTCAGGATTGGCAACCAATTGCAAAGATGTATCCTCATCCAGTTAGGGTACCATCCTGAGTCTTAAAAATAAAACTTGTACTTGAACGTAAACCCCCAATTAAGTGGGCCTTAAATCTTCACTTTTAGATTTGGAACCATTTTTCATGTTGGTGAAATCCAAAGAATGAAGAAGTTGATTTCCTGTTTCAAGATTGGAAAAAAACATAAGGATAGGTACACACACATACATTACTATAATAGGATACTATCATACTATACTATATATAGAAATATATTGCACTGCTTTTATGTATTATACTATTTAGGTATATTGTCATATGTGACATATCTAATAGTATAAATTGTATTGGAGAGGGGAGAGGAGGTGACTGTTTCATATTTCTTTTTGAAGTTTGTCATAGCAAAGCTGAAAATTTTGGAGAGCAAGCATGACAGACTCCCAAGAATTATACAGTTTTATTTTAAGCTTTCAGTAGTAGTGGTGTTTCATTCAGCCTGTGACAGGAAAAGTGAGTAATAGATGACTCGTGTGTTTTGTCTGCTGTAGCAATACCCTTTATCAGTGAATCTGTCTAACCAGCCAGTTATATTCCTATTGTCTGAAATTAAAGACCATGATGTTTTCTGACATTGTAGAAATTTCTGTTCAGTTAAAATATATGTTGTCAGTGAAGTGAAAATAATGAAATTGCAAGAAGTTGATTGATTTTTAGCTGTATTACTGAATTCCTCCCTTCAGAAGTCAAATCTGGATCACTTAAAATTTCTTACAAAATAGCTGATACACCATTAAAGTATTAAAATTCAACCTTAACAGTTTTTAGTGTTTAATAGGGATTTGGTCTCTAAGTTTGACTTGAGATGTAAACAGTAGTGGTAGCATATCTAGTCACTCATCTTGTGGTAGCCAGCCTTCAAGATGGCCCCCAATGACCTCACCTGCTGATATTCACACCTTTGTGTAGGCCACTCCCACATTTGCCAGGGTTGGTCTGTGTCACCAATAGAATACATCAGAAGTGATGGTATGTCACTTCTGAAATTAAGTTATAATATAAAAGACACTGGGATGCCCATCTTGGTGTCAGTCTCTCTCTCTGCCTCTCCCTCCCTCTCACTCACTCCCCCATCCCTCTCTCTTCCTGTCTCCCACCCTCTCCTCTCTCTCTCTCTCTCTCTCTTTCTCTCTCCTTCTGTCATGTCACCTGCTCTGTGGGAAGCCAGCACAAGCAAGGAACCAAAGCCTATGCCAGCATCCCAGTAAGCTGGGAGATGGATGCACCAGCCCCAGTTGTGTCTTCAGATAACCGCAGCGCTGGCCAAGGGCTCCGCTTCAGCCTCATAAAACAGAGTCAGAACCACCCAGTTCAATGCCGCCCAGATTCCTGACCCTCAGAACTGTATGAGATAAGGAAGGGTTTACTATATGAGCTGCTGTATTTGGGAGTGACTTGTTATATTGGACTAGATAACCAATACACACCTCCATGAATGTTCTTTTCATTCTTCAGTTCTTAACGTCTATTTTTGTTGTCCTTATTTGTTCTGTGAAACCTGTTATCCATACAGTCCACCCGATTGAGGCATTAAGTTGGTTGAAAAATACCATATTCCTTCTCCCATTTTCCAATTCAGTGTTTGGTTATAGTAAATGCAGACTTTGAATTCACTTTCCCCATGTCTGGGCCCCACGTTTGAATGTACTTTAAAGAATTGTTTTGTGACAAGGAGCTTTTTTTAGATTATTCCACAGATTCTTTTCATTTATGTACAAAACCACCAATTTTGTATAACTTGCAATTACTATGCAAGTGATTATGGAATTACTATGAAGTACTTCAAGAGAAAACAGACAGCTTAACAACTGTTCTCAGAGAAGTCTGAGACCTCACCAAAGAAGCTCATCTATTACTCGTAACTCAGTGATGGTTATTAATTATACAGGATAATAACAGTGTGGGTTTTAAAAAGTCATGTTTTAAAGTATTAGTTAACTATATACTCCAGCCTGAGAGACAGCTTCTCAGCAGATCTGTCAAGGTCACGAATTACACTCCCAGCTCCTGCTGTCCCATCCCACTTCCCCCTTGCTGTTCTGAAAAGAAAGCTGTAGAAATATTCAGGTTTCCGTGTTCCTTTCTGCCCTACCAAACCAATTTCAGTACTGAGAATCATTCCTTTACCATTGCTAATCAGACCAGAATGGTAATCATGAATAAAACAATGTGACAGTAAGAAAAATAGAATTTCAACTTTTCAAAGAGTCTTTTTTCCTCTTGCTTCCTTTGTCTAAGCATTTTTCTGAACTTGGATTTGCCTTTAGGACGTAAATAGCTACAGACAGTTTCTTTCATCACATCCTGGGTTGTCAATCTCGAGTTTTTATACCTGAACTTAAAGAAACAGATGTTCTTGGTGAAAGGAAAGTATTGATGAGTTCCTGTTGTCTGACACTATTCCTTTTAAAAGTCTAACTCAAAACTAGCTTTTTCTGTTTTACTCCTGCCATGATTTTAAAAAACAATAAAAATAGCCAATTCAGGAATTGGTCTTGTGTTTCTCTATCCTAAAATGGAATAGTGACTATTTTGAAATTTTACTGAGGATTTTCTTTTTAATTGGGAGCTGAGAAAATAGGAGTCTGTCTTGGATTCTTTCACATCCTTGCCTCTTTAATTCTCATGCTTACACAGACATACACAGACACACACGTACACACACACTTGTAGTAAGGTCAGGAAGATGGTTATCTTAAGATGGTAACTTAAAGGAACAAATCGATTTGGTTCTTCATAATTCCAGTATACCAACACCCCAATAATGTCATCATTTAAAATGGTTATAGAGGGGCACATGGGTGGCTCAGTGGGTTAAAGCCTCTGCTTTTGGCTCAGGTCATGATCTCAGGGTCCTGGGATCGAGCCCTGCATCTGCTCAGCAGGGAGCCTGCTTCCTCCCTCTCTCTGCCTGCCTCTCTGCCTACTGTGATCTCTGTCTGTCAAATAAATAAGTAAAATCTTTTTTTAAAAAAATGGTTGTAGTTAGGGGCACCTTGCTGGCTCAGTCGAAGGAACTGCGACTCTTGATCTCAGAGTCATGAGTTCGAGCCCCATGTTGGGTGTAGTTAAAAAAAATAAAATCTTAAAAAATTTTTTAATCATTGTAGTTAAGCCAGAAGTAAAACCCCAGGGCTTCTAACTCTGCTTTGAACATTTGCCAATTGACACCAACGTATATTTATAGCATAAAACTAAGTGATTCCTAGGTCTTGAACTTGGACAGTCTAATGAAGGAAGCATCATGTTTTCAGGACTGAAACATACTTCTGTGTTAAAGCCCATGTTTGCTTTACTGTCTTGAGAGGTTTTTCTGTTTTTGTTTTTGCTTTGTTTTTTTAAGCATAGCCATTGAACTGTAAATTTCCCTTTCTTTTCAAATGGGTTCCTCTTTGATGATGATGAATACTTAGCACCCCCAACCAAAAAAAAAAAAAGAAGAAGAAGAAGAAGAAAAAGAAAACCTAGCTTTTGATGAAATACTTTTTAAAAAATTGACAAATGACAGTAGTTTTCATGACTAGATTTCATATCAAAGTGTAAATCATACAGTACTTTGCTGTGGTTTTTGAGAAAGTTTCTTCAATGCTGTATTAACACTTCATTTTTTTTTTCATAGTAAAATGTCTCAGGAACCTTTGTAATGTCTGTGTAGTAAAGTACTCGTTACTGTCACCCTGTTCGCCTGCATGTAATATATGATGTTCTTACAAAGTAGTACTTCAAGTCCTTCCTAGCAGACCTGAAAGAATAGGGAAGTCAAAGAATATCTTTCCACTCCCTTCCTGATCCTTGCATCCAGTGTGGCCCCAAGCCCTAAAGCAGACTCTAATACCAGCCTGCATTCCCTGCTCACCTTCTGTCTCATCCCTGAAGCCCACCAAGCCCTGAAAGGGACAGAAAGATGGCAGGTAGCAGCAAACAGACTAAAAGAAGGGGTGGAATTTAGCAGCCGGTAGAAGGGATTTTGTCTGCACCTCTGGCTGTGAGTGTCCTGGTCTTCTTGACCCACCAATAACTGAGTGACGTTCTGCATGTTCAGATCACAAATAGTCGTAGAATATAACGTGAAAACACATTTAGCATTCTTTACTTATATACAACTGCCTTGTTACATCCCTAAATATGTAAACTGTAAAATTCTCATGTTTACCATATTTTAGAAATGCAAATGCCATAACAGAAGGAAAGGATAAGGTATTCCTGCTGGCAGTCACAAGCGTTCGTAAGCAGAGGCAGTAAGCATGGTGCTTAAGGACAAAGACATAGAGCCTGACTGCCTGGTTTTAAATCCTGGTTCCGACCACCTGTTACTTGACCACTTTATCATAGTTTTCTCATCTGCAAGTTGAGCATGATAGCACTACCTTAGAGGCTTATAAAATTTAAGTAAGTTAGGGGCACCTGGGTGGCTCAGTGGGTTAAGTCTCTGCCTTCAGTTCAGGTCATGATCCTGGTGTCTTGGTATCGTGCCCCACGTCGGGCTCTCTGCTCGGCAGGGAGCCTGCTTCCCCACCGTGCCCCCTCCGCCTGCCTCTCTGCCTACTTGTGATCTCTGTCAAATAAATAAATAAAATCTTTAAAATAAGAAAAAAAAAAAGGTTATATCCTAAAGATATAACCACATAAAGAACCTAAAAAAATTTTTAAGTAAGTCAGTGTGAATATAAATGCTTGTAACAGTGTTTACTACATAGTTGGCTCTACATAAGACTTTGTCCTCATTGATGTTACTATACTGTGCCCCCTTTCTGGCGTTGCTTCTACATTAAGACGGCCTGATCACCAGTCAGATTTGTAGTCGGCACATTCCGTTCACACTCACACTGCCGTCTTTACCATATAACTCCTAGCAAAGCCCGGGCCACAGTAGTTTTAAAAAGCAAAATGCTCATTTTTTCCCTCTTTCCCAGGCCCAACACAGAGATACTTTCATTGAAGAACGCTACGGGAAATATAACATCAGTGATCCTTTAATGGCTCTGCAGAGAGACTTCGAGACGCTGAAGGAGAAGAACGATGGCGACAAGCAGCCGGTCTGCACAAACCCACTCTCCGTCCTGAAGGTGGTGATGAAGCAGTGTAAGAACATGCAGGAGCGCATGCTGTCGCAGCTGGCGGCCGCCGAGAGCAGGCACCGCAAAGTACGTTCTCCCACCGGACTCTGCCACGTGGACCCGCACGGATACCTGCTGGGCTACGCCCGATCCCGTTCCCACAGTACTTGTCAGGGGGTCTCCTAGAGCCAAGAGTCCAGGAAGAAAACGCGAGTTATGCAGAATGTTAAATTTAGGGACTATGCCAGGCATGTTATTTAAGACGGCATTCCTTCCTGATAGGACACTCCAAAACACTTGCTCTGTCCTTTCAGCTCTTGAGCATCCAAACTTTGTCAACAGACTGGGGTTTGACCAAGCTCGCAGCTGAACAGAGTGTTCCCTGTGTGCTTCCCTAAGTGACAAATAGCAAGATTAACAGGTATTTGGGGAATGCTGTACAAGAGAGAGAGAATTTACCTGATTATAAACATGCAAGCCAATGGATTGTTTTTTATGTCTCTAGTTTTGAGATTCATTGCATTTTACTTCTCCTAAAACCATAAACAGTCCCAAGCATTGTTTATCTTAAAGCTCTTCTATCGTATTAGGAAAGTGTAAGGGGTGTGTGTGTGTGTGTGTCTGCGCGGGCACACGCGCACATGCACCTGTTTGGCTCCTCTTACAGACCCTAGTTAGGAAGGCGAACCTGTGCTTTCCTCTATCTCATCTCATTGGAATTCTAGTGCTTGTGATTTTATTCCCCGACCTGATTTACCACTCAGATTTGGCCTGTAAAAGATGCCTGGCAGGAAACTACATTTTCTAAAACTATTGGTTTAGATTTATACCAGCAAGGGAGACATCAACACATTTAGTAGGAAGCATTTTATTCTGAAAAATTGGGTCAGCAATTGCAAACTGATGAACTTTAGCTTGCTTTTATGATGTCTTGCATTAGAGAATCTGCTTAAAATGCACCTTCAGATTGCTCAGGCATAGGTCTTGCCCATCATTTTTCTCACTCTTCCCAGGGTCCAAGTGAAAGGCCAGGGTAGAGATTCTTAACCATGGATGGGCCTCAGATGTTCCAGGATCCCCCAGAAAATACACAGAATGCCAAAAGTCCATACGTTTTTATAGAATGTGAATTTTTTCCCCTATCTGTAATTGAATTCTCAGAGTTGTCCAAGACCCAGCAAAGTTTAACCGCTGGTCTAGAATGAAGGAATCTAAAAGACATTTTTGCCCAATTTAAAATGTGTCAGGTCTGTGTTAGTTGCCTAAATTTGGGGGCCTTTTACATGATCCTCTAAGAAAGTCTTCACAGCATGGTTTGCTCGGCCTTTTAACCCCTTCCTCCATGAAGCAGCTGAGCCACCCTGAAGGGTTGGCCGGCTGTCATGCCCATGAATATTGTAGTACTGGGATAATTTGTGGCTCTCAGTGATTAGGAGAGGAAGAAATTAAAAATAATTCAAAATTCTTTAATACTATATTTCACTGTAAGATTCTTTGAGTGTTAAATATTTTTAAACCAACTCCCTATCTGTAAGTGTTTTTATCAAAGTAAAACCCTGACCTTGTTACGAATCAAACAGTACCTAGAGGCTTATAATTAGGGTGTTTATTGTCCTAGTTTGCCCAAGAGAGTCCCAGTTGACGTCTGTCGCCTTGGCATAGTCATTAAGAATACCTCCTTTGACTCTCAGAAGTGCTGTGGTTTGAGCGGTAAATTACATGCTTACCCTGCTTGTTATGAAACAGAGTTCCCTCGTCCACCTCTCCCCATTCCTTCTTCTCCATATTCAAAGACCATTTATTTTGGTAGCTAAATTCCATATTTCTAAATGGTATATTATTCCCACACATATCAATTTTTGACACCTACCTTGCTTCCTGTCATTAGAGATACGGATTTACCTTACAGCCTGCCTCCCATTCCACCCTACCACCTTCCTGAAACAAACACAGCCTCCTTCCCTCACCCTCATTCTCTGCTATTCCCAGATCCTCAGCCTGCCGCATTCTGTTTCTTCTGAGGATAAACACTTGCCTTGTTCCTGGGCAGTGGATGCCTAACATTTTATGTACGGGAATCAGGCTGAGGAGACAGATAACCTTCTAGAAAATAGAGATTTTGATTCAGTGCCCTTGTTTCCTACCCCATATCTCACCTCTCCTCTGTAGCCCCTGCCATTTCCAGGTTCCATATCTCTTTGGGGCCCTGCAGGGCAAAACAGCTTCTTCCCTCATACCAAAGTAGCCACCGCACCTCCTGCCTCCTGCCCTCTTTAGATGTTATTAACATTTCTTGTGTGCTACAATTTCTGTCTTTGAGGGTTTTTATCTTTTCATTCCATTTCTGTGATTTTAGAGGGCTGTCCAAAAGGAGAGAAGATGATTGACCACCATTAGCCAAAATTGTTTTTCTATTAAATTGAAAAGTTAAGGTTTGGGGTTTTTTAGTTTAGTTTTGTTTTTTTAGAATTTTATTAAGTAATCTCTACACCCAACGTGGAGCTCAAACTCACAACCCCGAGATCAAGAGTCCCATGCTCTAATGACTCAGCCCTCCAGGCGCCCCAAGTTAGGCTTTTTTTTTTTTAAACCAGAAGGAAGAACACCAAGATGTTTTCATTTTTCTTGAATGAAAACATTTTGGGTTTCATGTCCCAAAAACTTTTCCTCTCTCCATACAAGAAGATTGTTAGTGTAGAGAAACGCTGAGAAATGGTCATTGGGAGGACAGTGCTCTGCCCTAGAGGTCTGGGCCAAGGTATCTGGGAAGCAGGGGCAGAAGCTGCTAAAAAAAAGCCCTGGTCTTTCAGCATCTTGTGCAGTATTTATAGATGGGATTATGTGGGAAATGTTCCTTTAAATGTGGACAGTATTAGCCTTCCAATTCGGCTTAATCCTTTGGTGCCAGGATAAGTGGATTGGGGTGGCAGATGAGTTAAAAGGCCTTCTGAAAAAATCTCCACATAGGATCCCAAGTGTTGAGGCTTTTTACGTGCAGGCTGAGCTCAAGAGTCTCTACCTGTCAGCTAACTCTACACAAAATGCGTATTGCTGACTGAGCGGGGCACAGAGATTTGAGCTTGGGAGGAGGATCTCGGTGTTCAGCTCTCGGTGGTCCTGTCTTGCTGCATCCCCTCCCCTCAACCCCTAGTCTGAGCAAACGGCCTGCGGTTGCTGGACCTATTAATTCTCGGAAGCCTTCTCAATCCCTAGAGCTCATTAGTTGTCCTCCTCTGCTTACTTGCCATTTTGTATCTCCTCCAATAAAGCATTGATCTTACTGTTTTCTGGCACATAGCTTGCATATCTTTCACCCTGCTAGATAATGTGATCCTGGATGGCCCTGACTAGGGTGGGTGGATTGAACTCTGGAACTATCTTAGGTGCTTAGATAGGCGCTTAGTATTTAATTGTGTTGTATTTTAAGTGTGTTTTCTTGATATTTGGAATTTTTGTTTCTTTAATTCTTTTAAAGGTGATCCTGGACCTTGAGGAAGAAAGGCAGAGGCATGCGCAAGACACAGCTGAAGGAGATGACGTCACCTACATGCTGGAGAAAGAGAGAGAGCGGCTGACTCAGCAGGTAGTGATGGTGCTCACAGCACCACGTGGGAGAAGTAGCATTTCTCAAACATTGTTCTGCAGGGTGTAAATTATTGTTACTCAGAAACAAAGGGCTTTGTGGTCAAATATATCTGGGAATTACTGGATTAAACAACGTTAAATAGGTTTCTAATTTCTTAGACCTTTTAGTACAGAAAAGTGCATTGTGAGTCGTCAGAACAAGATCGTATTCTGAGTTTAGCAAATCTATTTTCATAGACTCTTTTTTTTTTCCATAACTCACTCACTGTGGGACTGTCATCATGTAGAACATACTTTGGGAACACTAACTTCGAACTCACTTAGGAATCCAGAAACAGATACATCACAACCCAGCGTACAGACATACACAAACACATGCCTGAAACAAAAATCCCGTGAAATTATATATAACCCTTACTGCCATTCATTTTCTTAAAACTTTGATCGTGACTCATGAGACTGGTTTCCTCAACCACTGAGTCTCGTTAATGAGTTTGAAAAACATTGACTAATAGGGTTCCATCAACGCTCTCTCTCTTGCTCGGAGTTTCTGTGCCTTAAATAGGGTGGAAATAACAATTAAAATAGACTGCATTTGTGTAAAAAGTACAGTTTATTTATTTAAATAAATTAACATATAATTATTAGTTTCAGAGGTAGAGGTCCGTGATTCATCAGTCTTACAACACCCAGTGCTCCTCACATCACATGTCCCCCCGCCCCCCAACCCCCTCCAGCAACCCTCAGTTTGTTTCGTTTGGTTAAGAGTCTCTTATGGTTTGTCTCCCTCTCTGGTTTCATCTTGTTTTACGTTTTACCTCAAAAGTACAGTTTAAATGCAACTATGTGTTTGTTTTTAAGACCAGAAAGAATGATGACCAAAACTTGAAAAGTTTTATTTTCATCACTTAGGCTGATGAGAGCCCTATATTATATACCTGAAACTCCTGGAACACCGCATCAACTATGCTGGAGTTAAAATAAATAAGATGCATAGTTTTGTCTTCCTCAGTATTCATCACAAAACCCTATGTGTGTGGCTTTGTGTTATCAGTCCTGACCGTTCCGATCTTCTGACCCCACCCCCCCACCCCCGCCCCGCAGACCTAAAACACAAATGATGGTCCAGATTCCCGCCGCTATCAACATCCTAAATCACCAGAGTAAGAGTAGACCCTAGCGTGTACCCCCAGGTGGCAGGCGCTCTGGTGCCTCAGAAGCACTTGAGCTGAGCACATGGCCACGAGGCCTCCATGCGTCAGATGAGAGCCAACCGGGACGCCCCAGCTGACAATAGTTTTGCGACCGAGTTCTTTGTTGTCTTGTCCTAATCAAGCTGTCCGGTGGCCTTCTTTTCTAGTTGGAATTTGAGAAGTCCCAAGTGAAAAAGTTTGAGAAGGAGCAGAAGAAGCTGTCCAGTCAGCTGGAGGAGGAGCGCTCCCGCCACAAGCAGCTCTCATCCATGCTGGTGCTCGAGTGCAAGAAAGCCACCAGCAAGGCGGCCGAGGAGGGCCAGAAGGCGGGCGAGCTGAGCCTGAAACTGGAGAAGGAGAAGAGCCGGGTGAGTAAACTGGAGGAAGAGCTGGCGGCTGAGAGGAAGCGAGGCTTGCAGACGGAGGCCCAGGTGGAGAAGCAGCTGTCCGAGTTCGACATCGAGCGAGAGCAACTGCGAGCAAAACTGAACCGAGAAGAGAACCGCACCAGAACCCTGAAGGAAGAGATGGAGAGTTTGAAGAAGATAGTGCAGGATCTGGAGGCTTCTCACCAGCACAGCAGCCCTCCTGAGCAAGCGAAGAAGCCGGTGACCATGTCTAAAGGCACGGTGACCGAGCCTCCTGTGCTGGTGTCTGTGTTCTGCCAAACCGAAAGTCCGCAGGCAGAAAGAACCCAGGGGAGCAGCGCAGCCAAGGGGACAGCCACTGGGCTACCTGGTCCTGCCACTCCTACTTACGCGTATGCAAAAGCCAATGGCCATTTTGAGCCGGAGATGCAGACTGCCCGGGAGCCAGGGGCAGGCAGCAGCATAGAAAACCAAGTGCCTCCACGAGAGAGATCTGTGGGGTCTCTGGGGTCGGCCCAAGAGAAAGCAGTGGAGAATGGCGGGTGTCCTGTGGGAATCGAGACTCCTGGCCCAGCACCTGGTCACCTCCCGTCCAGTGGGGGCTCACTGTCTCCCAGCAGCACGGCCTCCTCCTCCCTCACGTCCTCTCCTTGCTCCTCCCCAGTGCTAACTAAGCGCCTGCTGGGGTCGTCAGCCAGCAGCCCCGGCTACCAGTCATCCTACCAAGTAGGGATCAACCAGCGGTTCCATGCAGCCCGGCACAAATTTCAGTCTCAAGCAGATCAGGACCAACAGGCCAGTGGTGTGCAGAGCCCCCCATCCAGGGACCTGTCTCCCACCCTCATAGATAACTCTGCAGCCAAGCAGCTGGCCCGCAACACCGTCACTCAGGTGCTCTCCAGATTCACCAGCCAGCAAGGGCCGATCAAGCCTGTCTCCCCCAATAGCTCTCCCTTTGGCACAGACTATCGGAATCTGGCCAACACCGCCAGCCCAAGAGGCGACGCCAGCCATTCCCCGACTCCAGGGAAAGTGTCCAGTCCGCTGAGCCCTCTGTCTCCAGGGATTAAGTCCCCCACCATCCCCAGAGCTGAGAGAGGAAACCCTCCACCCATCCCGCCCAAAAAACCTGGCCTCACCCCTTCTCCATCCACTACCACTCCACTGACCAAAACTCATTCCCAGGCCTCCTCTTTGGCCACCACAGAAGACCTAGCCGTCAGCTGCTCTTCCCCGGCTGTCGTAGCTAATGGCAAGGACGTGGAGATACTCCTGCCCACCAGCAGCTAGTCCCTCTCAGGAGTCTCCACGGCTGACATTCCACCAGATTTCGTCCAAGAGCTCAGAGTCCAACCGTTGAGTCAGATCATGTTATTTATTTTGATAGTAGCTGGAACCATCTGTAGAGTCCATTTAGTGTTTTTCGCCTTTTTGTATTTTTTTTTAAGTAGAAACTGAGTCCTTCAGATTTTTATGCCTCCCACCTTTGTACTAAAGCTAGAAGGGCACCTCAAAGACGTCTCAAGCTGAGCAGTCACCATCTCATTGTGATGGAGAAGGCTAACTGAGGACCAGCTGGTGATTTGCTGTCTATTTGGGGACTGGAATCACTCAACACTCACGGTGAATTATGCAGAAGTGGTTTGCGCAGATTTTTATTCCAGATGTACATGTTTCAAAAGTGCCTGAAATAAGACTGCCACATGAATGTGATTCTGCAGCGAAAACACAGAGTGGATCATTTAATTACAGAAAATGAGATCCTCCGTGAATCCTGAATGTTAAAAACCAACACTGCTTTTAATCCTCTTTTACTGTTTTTCATATAAGCTTTGTGTTCAGAAACCAGGCTGCATCAGTAGAACGGGAATTGGAAAAAGGTGGATGTGACCTCGCCACCAAGCCAAGCTTTCTAGAGCCCTTGAGAATCCCTCCTGAGCAGGAAGCAGCTGGGGTGCTGATTTTTCTCATACTTCTGAAAAATTAAGTCACTTGCAGTGTCCTGCGGCAGTTCTTGAATAGAATGAAATCACCTCTCCATTCAAAAAATGTCTTCAGGCATCTACTGTTGTGTAAGGAACTTCTGATTCCGATTACTATTACTTGAATAGGAAATGGTTACTTGTTCTGTATAAAAAAAAAAAAAGGTTTGCAACAGAATGAGATCTTTATTATGTAATCAAAGAGCAATAATTTAAAATTCATTGTCTTTGTAATATTATGTCAGAATTATACAGGTTTTACCAAATTGTTACACTTACTCTCGGAGCTGCCAGCACTTGGTGTCTGTATCTGTGGAACCAAATTAACTTTTCCCTAAATGGAAGTATACATAGATCTGTATAGCTACACAGCCTTTTACGTGTCTGACATACACACACTTAAACACATAAATATTAGTGTGATTATATCTTTGGAGTTTGCAATATAGCATAAAGGGCGAGTAGAAATGCACATTAAGATTACCTAACAGAGCAACTCGATGTGCCTGGGACCCAATCGGTCAAAGGAGGAATCTTGTCCACAGGGATGGGGGGGGGGACAGCGTGGGAGGGAGTTCCAGATGAAGTCAGGTCTTCAGCACCCTAAAACACCAGAGCCAAACTGACCCGTAGCACAGAACTCACCTGGCCATATGAAAAGAGTGAAACAGGTCACTCGATCAAGTGCTGTAAGTCAGCTGGGGCGGGAGAAGCTGTAGCTAACGGAACTGCCCGAGCCCCCTCTGAAAGGCAAGAGCCAGCTGCTTGTTGCCATGCAACAGTGCTAGACCAGGGTTACCAGCTCCTCAAATTTTTGTGTAATCCAAATTTTCAGAGAAACAGTCTCACTTTTAAATATCAAAACAGACTCAAACACAATTTGAAACTGCTGGTTAAACACTTCTGCAGCTGGGTTTAGCTCACAGGCTGCCAAGTTGCAACCTCTTTCATTCTAGAAACTTCTGTCATTGCCATCATTGTGAGTTTGTGAGGACAGACACCTCCCCTCTTTCCAGTGTGTAGTCTAGTACAGCTGACAGTGGCCATAGAATATAATGACGATCTCCGCCCCCCAAACAGGACTGCAGCCCAGCTCGGACAAGGCGGTTATAGGACTTTGTGGCCACAGTGATGGAGAGGCCTTGGTGTCCTCGCATACTTTCTCCCTAGCCAACATCTACCCAGCAGCCCTGCTCTCCTGCTGTAATTTAAGTCTATTTCCTCTTAATCCAATATGAATTGATGGGGGACCGGCCAGTGATGGAAATCAATGTATAAATCACAATTGGTGTCTCCAGGGCTTACGGTTTGATTAAGGCCAATACATCAAAAATTAAAATGCTCCTTGTGCCCCAGAGTGTCTACCAAGTGATGAACGGGGTATCTTTTAAGCTGCCCAAAGCAATCATGCGTTAAACTTCATTCCCACGCACGGCCAAATAAAGTGATAAAATAGCTGAACTTCCTGAACAGGAGAGGGGCTACAGTCCCAGAGTGTTATTACCTCTCTTGCTTTAAATGGTAATCTTAAAAGTTGCATTGTGCTCTTCCTTTGTTTCGGCATAGATATATATATAGAGAGAGATACTATAAGGAGGTTTATTTCTTAGGAAGTGCACTGAATAATGTATTTCTTTTACAGTGTAATATGGGGGTGGGGAAATGTAAAAGAAATGTGTATTTTTGCTAGTTGCCTATCTTCTAAGATAAATAAGCACAATACTGCAATGGATCCAGTAATCCAGCTAGGTCTTAGAGATTAGTATTTACGTTTGCTGTAGATCGTGTGTGTGTGCTAAGTAAAAGTTCCATGACTCACAATTTTGGTACTAACCCACGTTGTGGACGCTAGATGACTAGTCAGCAGATGCTAATGGATGTGCCGCGCATACCACAAGCATTAACTCGTTGTTCTCGTTTGTAAAGCCAAGTGTACCATGCAGAAGTCTTCATCCATTTTTATAGCAGACTACATTAAAACAAGTTAAATCATACTCTCTGGGGAAATCTAGTCTTGTTTGTACAAAGTGAAGGATGTTGCACAACTGGGCCTGTTTTGTCAGGGAAGGAGCAGGTGGTGTGGAGGGAGCGCGTGCCTGGGGCTTTCGAAAACCAAGCGAAGTCCGTGACCCGTTCAGGTTAGACTCCAAAAGGGGCCAGGCTCTTGGTTTTCTTGAGAACCTTGGAGCTGCAAGAAGGCTTTGCGATGATCCAGCCTATAATTTTTAAGCCCTGGAGGGGTTTAAAGGGGTTCTGGACCTTCTGAGAATCTAAGACTACATCCCCCGAAAAATGGATATACTGACAGGCAGAATGTGGTTGATGGCTTCCCAAGATCCAAAGACCTTGAAGCCATCCATGATTCATGTACTCGAGCTAAAGAATGCCTGATCTTGCCCTGCCCACGCGTTTTACAAGTGACTAATGTATCCCTTATCTCCTAGTCCAGTGCTGTGGCGCTACCCTGCTGTAGGCAGACAGAAGCACCTGAAAAATCCTTTGATGTACAAAAGACCTGGAGACAGTGTGGATGTTTACATATGTTAAGTTTCCACTATTTAAGGCAATTAATGATCATTTCAACAAACCCTGGGTATATCTGTTTTCCTGTAAGAGCCTCGCTGTCAGCCGTGCTGCCTTGTCTTCCCAGTGAGGGTCCCTCGTGCCTGGCGTGGAGTCTCTGCGCCCAGAGTGTCCCTCCCTCCCACGGATAGTCCCGCAGGTCTCTTTGCCTCCAGACCATGTCACCGCCCTTCCTACCCTCTTGGATGTGGCCTCTTCTGGAGAATGTTCTACCAGTCTGGGTCGTTTTCTGGGTCATTTCTACTGCTGTGGGGGTGATCTAGGTATGTCTGTGGGCCAAAGAGCCTAGGATCCTTCTGCTCTGCCATCTTCCCGGAAGGAGCAATACTGCCTTGTCAATTAATTTATAAAGTGCTCTTCTGATGCTTGGTCCTCCCAACAGAACTTCAAATGTCTTGAAATGCTGGCTTCAAAATAGTATCTGTTCTCAAGATCATGAGTCCGAAGTAGGTAATGAGCACAGTTCCACGGGAGTCATTTTAATTTCATTGCTGTAAAACCAGATGAGGAAACTTGAGAGCACCCAGCTGCTAGGGTACCAATGGCCAGTTCATTGGTAAAAGCAGAGGAGGAGAAAGGAGACCACAGTGGTTCTCAAACTTTCCTGTAACCTGGGAACCCTTCCAAAATACGGCCTCCTGAGGACTGGGCCTACGGTCGGCTGATGCAGGTAGGTGAAGGCTCACATTTTGAAAGACAGCGCCTCACAGCCCTTACCTTGTTCTTTCTCAAGAACTTGGTCTTCGCCTCTGACCTGCGGAGATGTCTCAGACTCTTGAAGCCGGTTTGCCGGAACGTCAATGATAGACAACTGAATGGGAAAAGCACTATGGTAGCACACAGGGCTCTTGGTGGGCAGGAAAAAGTTCCTAGAAAGGAGCAAATGTCTTTTCTCCTCCTTCCAAAGCATTCTTCCCCTGGGGGTTCTGCAGTATCTCCCTGTGTTTGCATTATGTCTCAGCTGGCTTGTCCTAGTCTTCAGCTGTGGTCAGAGACAGCCGCACCGGAAATCCCCAAGAACGCAGTGCTGTTTCAGGGAGACTGACAGACACCCGTGTGAAGTGCTCTCTGTGAGGGCTTGGGCTGGTGGAAGGAGCTCCCAGGGCACAGCACTCTGCTAAACATTCCCCAACAACTTGTAGGGAAGACCCAGGAAAAGGCAAATAGAGAAAGGACTGTCTTGCGAAAATACTGCATTCCCCTTAAGTGTTCCCTCCTACCCTCAAAATCTCCATAAGCAAAAGAGAAAAATGAACATCAAGCTTTGAAAAGAGGCAGACAAGTCCTGGGACACTCGTGAGTGGCTTACTGCCTTGGAGGGGAATAAAAGCAGCTTCTTGTCTTCTCGTAGTGTGACTGTGCTGCCGTTAGATTGGCAAGCATAGGGTGTTGTGTGGCTCTCCTTAGCGACTGGGAAGTGGAAATGGGAAATTCCTGGGAAGTGTTGCAACAAGACTGGCCTTATCCCTAGGGAGTCAGTCACCTACTTAATTTGACAGGAGTCCAACGGACTAACTCCACATGGTAGATAGTCGGGTCCCTTCAGAAATGAAGGATTTAGGGGCATGTCAGGGGCTGAGTCAATTAGGCATCTGCCTTTGGCTCAGATCATGATCTCAGGGTCCTGAGATCAAGAGCCACGTTGGCAGGGGAGGGGGTGTTCCCTGCTCAGTAGGGAGTCTGCTTCTCCCTCTCTCTGCCCCTCCCTCCACTCATGCTCTCTCTCTCTCTCAAACAAACAAAATCTCAAGAAAACAAAAGGTTTTATTTTGCTAGCTGCTGGAAGTGCTGACAGTAACAACCCAAAGCTACCCACCACTTCTAGGAATTGCCTGAACTGAAAGTAATTAACTTGACCAAGATCACCTCTCCTTCAAGGGGCGGTTCATGTCCAAAGACTGATTGGTATGCAGTATAAAGACCTGGCCCTGGGGTGCCTGGGTGGCTCAGTTGGTTAGGCATCTGCCTTCAGCTCAGGTCATGATGTCAGGGTCCTGGGATGGAGCCCCACATCCTGCTGTCAGCTCAGCGGGGAGCCTGTTTCTCCCTCTCCCTCTGCTCCTCACCCTCCACACCCCCATCCCTGCTCCTGCTCCTGCTCGCTCGCGCTCGCTCTCGCTCTCTCTCTCTCAAATAAATTTTTTAAAAACCTGGCCTCCTGTCCCAAATCAAGAGAACTCTGAAGGGTCATGCCCTGCTTCAAAACCCCTGTAGGGTTGGCTGAGCCGTCTGTTGGGACGGCTTCCTCCGTTTTTCCTCCCCTCTGTCCCTTCCTATGGATGCCAAGGGTACACCCCTGGTTAGTCTCTTGATTCCCAGTCTCCATCTCACACTCTGTTCCTTTGGGTCATGATTAAGTCCTCCCAAGGAGAGCAGGCACATTTTCTGAGTATTTGTTTGGTGCCAGGGTATCCTCCATGTTATTTAATTCAAGCAACACAACTACTAAATGAAGCAGTGAATCCTTCTTGCCCCACGAGGTAGTGAAGGCCGCCTGAAGCCCGGTAAGTTGCCTGCAGTCCTGCAGCAGAGCAGGGCTGTAAGCTGGTGGCACAGCTGGGATTCAAACCTTCACCCGTTTGGACTTCAAATCCACTCTCCTTCCACAGGCCACACGACAGCCAGAACAGCAATGATACGTTTGAGGAGTTAAGAGCATTAGCGTGTCGTCCATCAAACATCTAAGTAGAATCCACTAGTTAGCTACCCTGCTTCTGGGACTCCCAGCAGGAACGGGATACCGAAGGCCTGAGGGTTTTGGTGAGAAAAAAGGAGAAAGATGATTTGCCTACACACACGGAGTCCTCAACTGCTGCAGCTAGCAGAAAGCTCAGATACCCTGGATTCTGGCTCTGACCTATTACTGATCAGGAGAATGAGGTCCAGCAAGGTCAGGGGACTTGCCCAAATTGACGTGTCTCATTGATGGCAGAGCCCAGACTGCCTTCTCAGCCTTGCACTGACTGCTC